AGAGAAATTTCTTTTGTCACCATGTCAGAAAGCACATTTTCTGCTAATAAAAGATCTGCTGAATTATCTTTCCTGCTATGTACCATACTCACTGACTTCTCGAAGCTAGGGGATAAGTGCGAATTCTCTTCTTCACTATCAACAGCAGTTCTTAAGTTCTGAGGTGTGACCAGAGCTGAAGATACTTGGTCTGAAGAATATGAAGGCTCTTCTTTTTCTGAAGTAGTGGGGAAAAAACCATTTGCTAAACTCACATGATCTTCATTTTTATTGTTTTGTATTCTTGGTGACTGAGCATTTTCTTTGGGACAAGGTAAATCTGCATCCTCTGTATTATCCCTAAAGAGGCTACAAAATGTTCTTGAATGCCTCCGTGGTAATGTGTAATAAATTGAAACTAGTTCATGATACTTGACATGATCTTCATCAACACAAACTGTAAATGTGCTTGTGGTTTTATATTTCTGCAAAAAATTTCCCCCCTCCTTATAATCTGAAAACACGGAGGATTCTCTTCTGCTTAGATGTTTACATCTGTCTGTCAGATCAACTGATGTACTACTACTTACTGAATCAATACTTTTGGTTAAAGGACTGGGGCAATTTTTGTTACTTCTACCAGCATTTAATGATGCTGATGTTGAAAAAGAACGTTTTGAGTCTAAACAAGACACATCTCTTTGATTAGAATAAAAGGTGTCAGCTCTATGCAGAGTTTCAGATTTTAAACAATCGCATGTTGTTCTACTTTCCCTAGGTAAAGAGATGGGCATATCTGACATAATACTACCAGCAATGCTAGCTGATTTTCTAGGCAAGGTATAATAAATAACAAGAGGGTCAGAAGATTTGGAGCTGTTTCTACCAGGGGAGCCAGTAATACTGCAGCTACTGCTATGTCTCAGCAAGCTGTCTTTCTTGTAAAGCCTTTCAATACGAGGTGAATTACTCCTTATTTTTCCACTTCCTTTTTCAAGGCAAAAATAACTTAAACTATTTTCAGAGGTATTGGGATCTCCATCAAAGCTATGCATATAAATATTTTCAGAATTTCCATTTTGTGGAGAACTAGTAGTGAATTGTCCATTACAGTCCTTAGTACCTAAAGTGCTTGCATTTTGCAATGTTTTCTGTGAAATCCATTTGGTAACACCTATTCTGCTCATTTGAGCTGTATTTTCCCCTTCTGCTTGAAAGTCAGTAACTGTGCAATTTACTGAAGAGCTACTTGGTGCTTGTGGAGAGCTTTGAGAGCAGCTAGATGAGCATCCAGGAGGACAGGACAACCTGCCTTGACAGTTTGCTAACTTTTCAGTGGATGGTGCAGAAGCAACATTCAGCACTGAGGACTGTCTCTTTGGAGTGGCTTGGTTAATGGCTTCTGCACTCCAATTATCCTGTTTGATGCTCTCTCTTTGTGCTGCATAATTCAGATTATGTTCCCATTCTTTCTGACTTGGAAGAAAAGGTTCCTTCCTGCTCTCATCAGCTAGCAAAATACAGGGAGGCTGACTGAACACACTGTTGGGTGGGCAATCATTTTCCTTCATTTGTACATTTCTTTTATCACCATTTGATGTATAAATTTTTGCAGTATCTCCTCTAGCAGTGACTTGGGTTTGTCTCTTTGATGTCATTGTGTTAAAGAGAGATACATCTCTTTGCCACATGGCAGAAGCAGGGCTGTTAGAGGAAAAACTCTGGGCGCTGATATAGCTTGTATCTGCTTGTAGAGGAACTGACTGTAATGGCATGTCTTCATCTGCCCCTTTCATATCTTCAGCCTTTTCTAGTCGTGTAAAGTCTGCCTTAGTACTCCTTTGGGTAACGACAGCTGAATTCCTGTTCAGTCCTGCAGGTTTTGTTCGGTCCTTTGAATTAGAAAAAACTGACTCATCAGTTCTGATACTAGATGAAGAAACTGAAGAGTTACAACTTAGCCAAGGCTGACAGCCCTCAGTGAATTCTGAGAAAGTTCTGTTTGCACTTCTTGTTCTCTGTTTGACACTTGTATTTTCTGGAGAGTATATGTGAAAATCGTTCTCCAGGCGCTGCGAACCAAACTTGGCATTCTTTGTATGTGCCCACTGCTGCTCATTTAAATTAGCCATAAACACTTCAAAGTTGGCCTCAGGGGAAAGAAATGTTTCATCACTGTAACACTGAGGAATATCAGCCCAGGAAGGATAGCTGTCTTTTTTTCCATAAGAATAACTTTTTTTGTTTGCATACAACTTGCCATGAGAAGAGATATCTCTATAGTAGGATCTAGAGAGATTATTTTCTGATTTATATAAAGGATAATTTTCCCAGTTATCAAAGGGCAATGGAGAAGTAGCTTCGTCCGGACAGCCAACTCTACTAAAGCAATTACTGCTTGAAATAGATCTTCTGTAGTGGTGTTTTGAGTGGTAACATGTGTATTTCTTTGTTTCTTGCAAAGAGCTGGGATATCTACCACGGTCTGTAGCATGAAACTCCATCAGTGACTGGGTTCTAAACATTTTTTCTGGAACTGATGCTTGTCCAGGCGAGTCTGGTGTGTTGTTCCATACAATAGAAGACAGAGGAATTCTCTTTGGGTTCTGCCGACCAAACCTTGGTACAAAACCATTCTTGCTTTCCCTTGCCAGTGGATGCTGTAAACTAGATGCTGATAGCTGGTCAGAAGATACTGATGATGAACATCTCCGAAGGGAACATACAGAGTAACTTCTGCCAGCTGTATCCCTGTTCATACAACTCTTGTGCCTAAATCCGCTGTTCTGTGTTACAGAAGGGGGATATAAGCTACCTTCTGAAGACCTTCCGAAAGAAACGGCAGACAGCCTTCTGTGGCGCAGATGAGAATTCCCATCGACTGGATCACCACATTTGCAATCTTCTTGAAAGGCTGTCTGGTGCCAATTTATATATGCACTGTGTAATTTCCTTGGTCTGATGAAAATCTTGTGTTCATCTTTGGCCCTTAGTGTTCTCAGTCCATCTGGGAAAAATGTGCTAGGCATGTCACTCCAGTCATTTCTCTGTTGCCCCCTACTAGCAATCTGTGTCTTTGAAGTAGGGAATGCACTGGATTGGACATTTGATGCACTGCTAGTAGAAACTGTCCTGTCCAATGGGTCCTGGACTTGTTCCTGGGCCAGCTGGTCATCCAGATCATTTAGAACTGCACAGGGAAAAAAAGATACTTGGTTCTGTTTTCTTTAATAATCTTCTGACTATTTATGTTAAAAAGTTTCAGGTACTACATTAATTATCAGAACTGGTTTTAAAAGGAGTCAGCTTCTCAGCATTCAAAACCCTTCCCAACCCACACATTCTTCTTCTTTACGACCTTTCAGCAGTCACCCATTATGATTACAAGTAAAAAAATGCTCTCCTCTATGACTGATCTTAAAACTGCTCTTTATGTAATTGTTAGTCTTTATGCTACTTAAAAGAAAAACAAAACAATTTGAATTCTTACTCATGTGCTATATATATGTGTATGTGTGTGTATGTAAACTTTCCAAATCTAGTTTATAACCAAAAAAATCCCTGAAAAGAATTTACTAGGCAAACATGGACCTTTCTATGTGCTCATAAACCACAGTTATGATGTAACTGTAAGAAAACAAAGAACCCTGCAAAGCACCAAACAAGCATATTCAGTAGTCTGGCATGTCCACCGTTTGTTTAATTCATAAAAGTTCTGTGCTGAATTGTAGTTTCTTAATTGAAAATGAGCACTGAAAATAGCATTTTCTGGATAAAAAAAGGGTAATTAGATAGTTAGGAACCTGTGATTCAATCTAGCAACAAATATGTATTTACATACATAGACAGACAACCTCATGACCTAAAATTAAACACTATAGAGCTCAATTAACCAAAATATTTATTCAGAAGACTGACAGCAATATATTAAAGTATTTTTATTGTCAAAACCAATTATGCCTTTGCTAATTGTATTCATTTTGTATTTTGAAAATAACACACATATGACTGTTTTGTTACAGAATTTCCTAATCCACTTAAATAAGCAAGACTGACTGATCGGTCATTACAGATCTGTGCTAATAGTACAGAATCATTAAGAAAGCATTGCTAGGTATGTATAGTTAGAATAAAAGGTGATCCCAAGGTACTAAAATTTTCCATTTTTCTAAGTTTTTCTTCAGCACGCAAAAGAGATGGCTCCCGAGAAACTCAGCTTAGAACAAGACAAAAGGTGTGTTGTTTCTGAGTCTTCCATTTGGAGGACATCAGCCAAGCTATGACAGACACACCAAGAGGTGACAGGCTGAGTTTCAGAACTACTGTCCATCATGCAGTGCTCTCTTCTTCCAGCACTGCCGACTCACTCACTACTTCCCAATCACGCTTTCAATCTGTGATCTTTTGTAGTTTTGGGTGGTAGAAAATAATATTCAAGGACATTTCTTTGTATAGATCTAAGAAAATCTGGAAAGTTTATGGAAAAACACCTCCGTACTCTAATAGGCTGAGTCTGATCTTGCCTCCCTTCCCAGTGTGAGGAAAAAAAACCACAAAAAAGAACCACTTGACTATAAGGATCCCAGAAAACTAACTGAATGCCACAATGCCTCTTGCTTCTGTGGTTTGAGGCTTCACAATTTATAAAACCAGGCCCAATAATTCACTATTATCAAAATTATGCATGCAGGAAACTGGGATGAAATTCTTCTCATATAATCATATGTCTGCCTCTAAAGGATGCAATATGGGCTCCTGAGAAACAGCAGAGTAGAACTGTACACTTTTACATGTGTTTCTTCTGAATCATATCAGTATGAGATAAAATGCAGTCTAAGAATGATCAGTGACACATCTTGAAGTCAATGTCAGAGTAACCATTCTGCTGTCAAACAAAGACAGCAAAAAGTAGCCACTCTGCTAGAAAGTAATGAGTTGTATCTTTACAGCCCATACTTTTGCAGAAAATTCTCTGAAACCAGTCACCACAGTATCAGAACAAAATAAGGACACACACTTACCACTGAAAAACTCCTTCTCTAGCTGATCATTCCATTCCTGTGTACTTTTCTCCATCATTTCAATTTGGTTTGTATCAAAAGAATGACCACTCATTTCAGTTGACATTGGGGAATTACACATTTCAGCCTGTTAAAAATTATAAGTTAACATGTTTTTAGTTCAACATGTGGGTTCAGATCACATTTCACGTCACATGACAAATCATGTCACAAGTCCCAGAGATCAGCAAACTCTTTGTGGATCTTTTAAATACTGTATTATTAAAATACACAACTGAGGATTGTAAAGTTGCATGCATTTTAGAGACTTTCACACATGTAATAAGGAGAATTACTCATTTTGTCCTCATACTGTAGCTTATTTTGGATACATGAGTTATAATGGCCTTCTAATAAGGGCATAGTTTACTTATTTTATCCATATGCATCTTTATTGCATTGTATCTTTTTAATGAATTGCATCTCTTAATTTAGTTTTTCTCAATCCATTCTTCCTTGACCAGCATATTTTGAAATTCACGTGCTGACCTCCTAACAGAGATTCAATAATTTAACACTACAGCCAATTTTCTTATTGCAAGACAGCACTTAGTATTAGAAGTGGGGAAAATGTCATCCTATTCCCCATCTGTGTTTAGTTTATGTGTTAAACTGGAGAGGTTCTATCCCACCCATATTTCTCTCAGCTAAGGTTTCAGATGGTAGAAGTGCAGACAACTGCTGAACTGCTGATCTATTTCAGTTGAGACTCTTCCTCTTTTTTTAAAAAAAACCCCACCTCGCTATGTTTTTGTTCTCAATATTCATAATATTTTACTTGTCTAGCTATAATATAGCTTTATATAATATGTTTATATAAGAGGCAGGATTATCTGATAAGATCTTTGTTCAGTCATATATTATTATAGATTATCCCTTTGTTTTTGAAATATGAGAGAAGGGAGGTGGCCAGTTTACCTCCTCTGTGCCTTTGATTATATACTATATACCTTCTTAGTCCCCTCTGCTGGTATACCACTCAAGTGAAAAGGAAGAAAGACATGTTAGTAATATAGGGTAATAAAGTAATTCAAATAGAAAACATTATCTTTGGAAGAAAATCTGTTATTTCAACAGCACGCACTTATATTACATCAGAAATATATTTGTTGTTTCATCATTAAAATTATCTTGTGCTTACAAAATGGAACATTCATCCAAAAAGTAATTTCCTACTGTCAAAATTTACATTTACATGGCAACTCTGTGCATGGAGATGTTGCAGGAGAGGCTCTATCTTACTGCCTGCCCAAATCAGCTACTCTTTTTCAACCTTGTACCGTGATGTGAAGTAAGCACACTAGACTATTTATTCATTGCAAATTTTGTAGTTTGCTTACAATTGTCAAGATATGTGAGGGTCTTTGCCTAGGAAATGATCCATGTAATTATTCTGTCATTATGAGAGAACTTAAATCTGGCAGAGCTAGACTCAGGGCTTACCTATGAAAGCTTCGGACTTGTAGAATTAATGGGCAAGCTCATTCTACTACATTCAGCAACTTCACAACACAGACATTGTCCTCAGCATTTAAAACAAGAACTGCAAGAATACTATTTAAACGTGTTATATCAACAGCGCAAACCAAGGGGACTGATTTTTGCAAAATCTGTAGTTAAAACATTGCTGAGAATAAATTGATAAGCTGCTTACCGTTGCCATTTCTTCCACTTTCGAGGGTGGGCTAGCAGAACTGTCATATCTGTAGGCAGGAGGATGTAAATGTTGGCTTTGAAAAGGAATGTGATGTAATTTTATCAGGTAGTAAATATCCAGCAGTTTCGCATTTTAACAACTACTGAGAAGCATCTGAAGAAAACCTCCTCTCTGAAGAATTCATCCTTCCCTCCCCTGCGTCCCCCCAAAAAAATCCTGCTTAAAAAAATACTAGGAAAATGTACTGTACATTTTGGCTTTGTCAGCTTGCAAAAATCATATCTGTGCAGCCAAAAATGAACTCAACCTACTGACATCTGAATGGCTGCAACAGCCATTAAGTAGTTGCTTCAATTCAGCATTATGATAAGATAGTATAATTTCTTTTTCCAAACAACAATAGTAGGTACTACTCATAGCCGAAGTTATGTACTTGTAAACCTGTAAGTGGTTTGCATCTGCAATTCTATTGTTTTTCTCTTCCATTTCACCCTGCTCACATGTAGAGCTGTGCACTGCCCCTGCAAAGGAGGAAAGACAGACAGCAGATTGTTTTTAGTGTGAACTTTGGAATTTGCTGCTACTCATCCAAAACCAGCCTTTATTTACCAATTTCTAACACATGGTAGAAGGCTCGTCTGCTTTCCTAAGGTATATCAGACTGCAAGGGCTTGGCAGAGAACTGGCTAGAGTGTCTGTGAGTAATGCAGTGGTTAGAACAAGATGAGAAGTCCTGAACATAAAAAGTACTCTGCTCTATGGGATGACTTGCAGATATACAAATACAAAATAACTAAAGAAACAAGAACAGGACTTGACTTCACTGAGTCTATTTGAGTCTGCAGAACTTTATTTTACAACTAAGCAAACCCAGTCCCTTCAAAAGCCCTGAAGGAAATGTTGCTCAGCCTGTGCTTATTGCCAGTTCTTCCTTGTCTCAGAACTCTTTTTTCCCAGGAAGTTAATTCTTGAGAGAAAGTGAAATAGGGAAAGATGGTTCTGCTCAGTCCTGTTTGTCTCAAACTTTTTTTGAATGACCTTGTTCTTAGGCTCTTAAAACCTTCTTGTGCTCAGGTAGACTACTTTATTGTGCTTCTACAGCAAGTATAAACCGGCTTGTTGGCAAGTTCTTTGTGGCCCAGCCTTTCCTCCTGAAGTGCTTTGTCATTTGTTTGCAATGTGCTTGCAGGCAGGGAAGAACAGTTGAAAGGTGCAATTTGTTTTTGCTTCTGTAATTGTGAACTGTAAAACCAGGATTCCTCTCTGACATGGGGTCCAACTGAAACCAAACAAGCCTGTTGACTTCAGTGGGCTTAGGATCTGGCCAGACAGTCTGAATCTGAAGTTCCTAATTTTTTCTTGTAGCACTGAATAAGAATAGCTATTAATTCACTGGGTAAACTCCCCCTGTGAATGAAGTTTACAGAACCAGAACTCAGAAATGTATGTAGCTCTTTTTTAATCTTAAATAAAGTTGACTATGTTTTAATGCTTCTACAACAAATTAAGAATTGAAACTTACGTTTCAGAGTTTTTGCAACGATTTCCTGCAAACAAAGTTCAATGAAATCCCGTGGCTTAGCAAGTTACCTTAATTTTACTCATATGCATAACTAAAATGTAAAAGCTTTGTTAGAAGCTTTCTTCTTCAGCTTTACTGTGTAAAGCTGCTCTACAGCTCTCCCCACTCCCGACACTTGGTGTTGCCTTAATTGCTCCTTGCAATGAAGCTACATGAAGTAGACATGTTAGTTAGAAATGTCAGTTAGAAATGTCTTCTGATAGTCTAGGCAAAAATTAAATTTTCATTTGCACCTCTGGCACTATTCTAAATTTATGCCTGTCTTTGTTGTCACTGTTCTTTCAGAAATAACTGGCCATTGCATCCTGCTTTATTTTTCTCCCTGTTAACTTACACAGACAAGGTTATTTTAATCTTTTCCCTGTGCCAATCCCTCCACTTCCCAAACTGCCTCGTTATTTTTTCTGAAATGCTTTTTCAGCATTTCAAAATTTAAGTTTTTCTTACTTTTAGAGAAATGTTGCTTAATTTTAGGAAAAAGTAATTCAGTTTCTTTTTTTAGTTGGGGATACTGGGCAATGTTTACATTATTTTGTACACACATGCATACACACATACTTGCAAACATTGTCTATTATTCATAAACAGAAGAAGTGAAATAAATGTTCAAGTTCAGAAATATTTACCATTAGAAAAATACTACTCACTATGGAAAGCAAGAAATTGTAATTTATACTTTTCCACTTCTATACATATGTTATCTTTTTAATGACAACCAAATGTAGGATTATAAGTAAAATGTAACTATCACTATGACAACAATAATAAAAATCCATGACTTCAAATCTGCTGCGAATTAGTATTTTCACTGAGGCACCTGTCTTCCCCAGGCTACCTCTAAGTTGTCTAATGTCAGTGTAATCCATTTTCTTCTATACTATTCTTATCAATACTATATAAGAAGACAACTAAACAACAAACACATAATTCACATATGCTGAAAACACAATTAAACAGCATTTCTTTTCCCGGATGAATCACACTTAAATATTAGAAAATAATAAGGATGAATTCAAGAACACCAAACACCTTTGAACCAAAAGTGATCAAACATTTCACTGCCTTCAGATTACAGCTACAAACCTTTTATTAGCATCTTCTGTGTCTCCATGTAAGCACACTCTTTCTTGCAGCATCCATAATTTATTCCCACCGTAAAGCACCACCGCAGCTGATGAAACTGTCTCTCCAGTACAAACAGGACCCTCTAACCAGGTATTAATACTTAGCCATTTAAAAGCTTCTGCCAGTTAGGCTTACTTACAGGATTTACAGTGCTGCGTCCTATTGTATTTCACTAGCACTCCAAAATAACTCTACCTGGTGAGAGGCAGATTATTTCAGTGCTTTGCCTATGCATAAAGCAAACCACATGCCACGGCAACACCTAGAAGAGGGTGGGGGAAGTTTTCGACAGAGAGGCGTGACTAGAAAATGTAGCAATCAGTGTAGTTACACGTCAGGATTGACTTGTTTATTTTTCAAGTTGTGCTCGGTCAGAAATCAAAGGCATTTGAGCCTGAGATATGAGAGATTTTCTGTGGAAAAGCCAGATAAAAGCTGATGTAATGAGTAGGCACGCTTTGGTTTTTTTTGCCTTCTTAAATTAAGAAATCTTTCAGTGCTTAGATTCTATAGCACAGCTCAGACCTTCATGTGTGCATTGGCTACCTTACTGTGCACCAGGATAAAGCACCCTTGAAATCTGATTCTCAGTTACACAAATGCCCCTTTATTCTCCAGGGAGGGCTGTGGCCCAGTGTTGCTGTGTCCCAGCATGAGGGGCATTACTGTGTCATAGGGAGGAAGAAGGACCAAATGATGTGTATGGAGCAGTGTTAAAACTGCAATTTTTTTTTGTGCTGTGCTGTGTTGTTATGTAAAAGAATTGTTACCAGTGAACATCCACAAAGCTAACCTCACAGCCTCTATGCAAACCTCTCCTTAAGTCTCCTGCTTTGATACAAACACTCCACAATAGCAAGCTGCTGTGTTACAAAACCTACATATCAGACTAATCATAATTTCTTTAGAGGCTTGCATTCCCTGTCATTGTTTATTACAGCCATTCATGCCACCTGGGAGCCCTAGGCATGGACCAGAATATCAGCCTGAGACTCACAAACAGAGTGAAAATCAGCTCTTTATACCAAAGATCTTGCACCTTCATGCTTAAGATTTCACAGCACTGCACAATGCACCTTTGCCTATGATTGCCAGTCCCAAGCATTACCTTAAGAGGCACACAAAAATAGTAAGGCTTCATTCAGATGTTGCAGACATACAGGATCACACAGGACAAAAGTTAGGGGAGAAAAGTCAGCCTAACTAGCCTGACTATGGCTTACCCCAGACTGTGTTCTGTCTGAACAGCAGCTTTAACCCTGTGGATGGCAAAGGAGAAGGATGCTCTTCAAATAGCAGCTCCAGAGCTGCATATGAGACCATCTTTGGTCCAGATCCAGCTAAAACCAAAGCACTGGTGAAGCACAGAAGACCAAATCACTGAGAGCTGCTCTGTTAGCCTGGCTGGAGCTACAGCTGCAGGCCTGTCTCTAACTGCCTCTGGGCTAGAAATGGTGGGAACGGTGCAACAGAGCTGCCTGGGGCCGGTACTCTCTGCCGTGGCTTGGGAAAGCTATACTTTCCTATTGTATCACAGCCATAGGGCACCTGATCCCCATGTGCCTTACACCTTGTCCTCTTGAGAGGGAATTAAATAGGATGCAGCCGCTGCTAAGTCTAGAGCCTTTCATATACTTTGTTATGCAAAACCTGAGCAAAATAGATTTAGCCAAGAGACTTTACCTATTACTCGTACTTAGTCCTCATTGTTCTGAAACAAACCGGATAATCTCTCATTACCTGACCAAGTAAAATCCCAGTCATCCCAGTGAGGTGAAAGGCAAGAGACTGGAAAAATAATTTAATGAGTTTTCTAAGCAAAACACAGAACAGTTCATAGACTTTTTTAAAACTGGAAATAATGTATGTTCTGATTATAGCTCACCGTGGTTGCTTCTGAGTCTGGGTTTTCCTTGATTTTCTAAAGGAGGAAAGCCAAGCAAAAGGTGATCTGAATCCCAGAAAGGAAGTTGAAGTGTTCTTTTGTGCTTGGGGATTTGTGCGGAATGACATTTTTAATTCTTTATGATCTAAAAACATGATAAAAAGCAGATTTGTTTCTTACTAAATACAGTATTAAAAAAATATATATAAATGTTATGTCTTCATAAACAATTTTCTTTTGCTTACCTTTTATGCCAGGGAAATCCAGTTTAACTGACATTTTTGGAGAGACCATGTGACCTGCTGTTTTGTAATGACTAACTAGGAGACAGAGAAAGATAAACAGATCTAAAGTTTCAAAAAGTATTATCGGTTTTGGGGTGATGCGTGTGAGATAAATGAGGCTGATTTTCAGAAAGTTATCAGCACTCAACCATTTGAAAACTGTTGTGGGTTAAAAAGGGTTTTCCCCTGGAGTTGGAAAGTGGTTAACCCCGGGGGTGGTGTTCTTGGTGTAGAGCAAATCAGAAGCTACAGTTCACCCCTGTGAAATGAACATATTACAACAGACCAGAAAAGGAGACCGGATTAGGTAGCTGGAAGAGAGGCAGCCATGGTTTGAGACGCCACATGTTTGAGTGGGGGCCAGTGAGCCCCGCTGGGGGGTCAAGGCCCCCAGCCCCCGGCTGGCGCTGTGGAAACCCAGAACAGTGTTAAAACTGGATTGGGTGCCATGGCCAAAGGTTGGGGGAGTTTCTCCACTGTGAATGGGCAGCACAAGACAGAAAAGTGGTGGGAGAGGCAGCGCTGAGTGGAGAGCTATGGCTGAAAGCCAAGAAGATAGCCTGCAACCAGCAACATGGCACATAGCCAGGCTGAGAGATGCAGAGATGTTCCTGCAAGGAGGGAGAGCTGGCAACAGAGCAGAAAAAACTCAGCAGAGATTGTTTTGGGTAAGACTGGATTACCTTCCCAAAACCCAGAAACCTCCTGAAGAGGAGAGGTGGGGTTCCAAACTTTTAGGGAGTCCCAAAATGCAGCAGCAGCTAGAGAAAGAGAGAGAGAGAGAAGAGCTGAGAACTCGGAGACATCCTGTGAGCTGGACCAGGATGGAATGCAGGGGAAGTGGCCTTCCCCCTCCCCCCTGTCATGTTGGCAGCTGAGACAGAGCAAAGGAGCTCTGTTAGAATGCTTGGGGCAAAGAACTGAACTGAGAGCACTAAACTGTTCTGACTCGAGGGAACCTGACCCCTTGAGGAAGGGACTTTCATGGGATGCCTTGCACCCCGTGATATGACCGTGGTAAGGCGAGTTTTGTCTCTGCTTTGCAGCCCACGGGAGAGACCTTTGGTTGGAGCCAAAGGGCTGAGAGGGGTGAACCCCCCCCCGTGTTGTAATGGAGAGAGAGAGACAGATATTTTCCAGCTACGACAAATCCAGCTGCTGCCTTGAAGAGGAGAGATGCTCCTGCCCTGAAAGAGGAAAAGACCTTTTCTTCTTTTCTTCTGAACTTTTATTGGAGGGAAAGGAGAGATTTGATCCATGTAAATATATTGCTTTACCATAGGAGAGATAGTTAGAATTGTTGTATATAAATGTATTGCAGTATTTATTGTGTTAGTAATAAATTTTGATATAATTTCCCCATGTAAGTAGATATGTCTGAAAACCCCTCTCACATTGAAGAAAATTGTGGGGAATTTGGAAATTGGATTTTAGGGGAGCTCAAAGCATGACAAAAACCATATCTGTTTCAAAATATAGGTAAATTAGACATTTAAAAATTGAGGTACCCACAATCATTAGCACTTTCTTTTCACATTTATAAGAAATATAAATGTGATCACCCAGAATATACGATGGCTTAATAGACTGTAATGTAACTACATAACAGTAATTCACACTAAGCTGTCTTCTGTATCACACAAGAAACAAGACTTCACTCAGGAATAAGGCACTACATTTTTTTTTACATTTAAAACAACGCATGCCTGAAACAATACAACAGCTTGAAAATGGTTTATCTGATGCCTGTAGGAGAAAGCAAATCCAGAAATTAGAGCTAAGTGCTACTGATAACAACAGCAAGGGGCAGCATTTTGGACCTAGTCCAAAATGAAGCGAATAATTCATGTCATGTGATTTAAATCCTGTGTGTAATATATGGCTTTCACTTCAGTGACAGTCACTGTGTATTTCAAAATGCCACATTCTTTACTCCTTTCAGAGGCATTGACTTGACAATGCAGGTGACATCAGGAGAGTCCTAACAGCACTCCGCTATAGCCAGGATGGTCTAGGGATGTAGACAGACCAAGGCTTGCAGGTGGAAGCAGTACCTTTTATTTAGCCAACTTATACAGTTGGAAATATCAGACAAGCCTCTGAGGCACACAACCTCTTCTTCAGATCTGAAATAGGAGCTTTCAAAGTTAAATACCAGAGAACAATTACACAGAGTTTAGTTAGCTAGTGCATCAATTAGACCATCTCTGAAAGAGAAAACTCATAGATAGCTGTGGACTAGAGGGAATGTTGGGGAAAAAATGGTCAGGAAAGACAGATCTGTTCTGTGTAGGTTTCACTTTTCTTTTGAAATACATGACTCTGCTTCCAGTTGATATGAAGCACAAACAGGAAAAGCTCAATGAAAAACATGCAGAAATGTGAATGGATAAAAGCATATATTATGCATGAAAACTATCTGGATGGAAGATGAAAGACAGTACAGAATACCATGCTTGCTATAGAGACATCATGTTTCTTGTGCATGTTCATTTTGGATGGTCATCAGAACCTGTGAAAGAGATCTCCAGAAGTTCATTCCTGGTCAGGCCAACTCCCAGGTTTTGACACTCGCCCTGATAATCAGCACCGGCATGCCTAGTGTTACTAGGAAGAGTTTTCCACTGGTACATTCAAACCTCTCTCACTCAAACCCATCTACTTATTCCAAATATCATTTAGATGCTTTTAGATTTTTAAGAAAACTAGGTTAAAACTGAAATGTATTTTTGTGCTGGTTTTGGCTGGGATAGTTAACGTTTTCCATAGTAGCTTGCATGGGGCTATGTTCTGGATTTGTGCTGAGAATAGTGTTGATAATTCAGGGATGTTTTCATTATTGCTGAGCAGGGCTTACACAGAGTCAAGGCCTTTTCTGCTTCTTGCACAACCCCACCAATGAGTAGGCTCAGGGTGCACAAGGAGTTGGGAGAGGACATAGCCGGGATAGCTGACCTCCACTGACCTAAGGGACATTCCAGATCATATGGCATCATGCTCAGAATATAAAGCTGAAGGGAGAAGAAGGAAGGGAGGACATTCAGAGTGATGGTATTTGTCTCCTCAAGTCACTGTTACGTGTGATGGAGCCCTGCTTTCCTGGAGGTGGCTGAACAACTGCCTGACCATGGAGAGTAGTGAATGAATTCTTTGTTTTACTTTGCTTACAAGCATGGCTTTTGCATTACCTATTCAACTGTCTTTATCTTAATTCACAAGTTCTGTCACTTTTAGCCTCTCATCCATCCTGATGGGGAGCAGGTGAGTGAGCAGCTGGGTGATGCTTAGTTGCTGGTTGGGGTTGACAGTCCTATATGATGCCCAATGTAGGACTCAAAGGATTTGAGATAATGACAGATTTCAATGGAATGTGCTAGACTGAAGTTACAGCTGTTCTTGCTGTTTAACTATTAATTGACAGGTTCCTGTGCTTGCCATGGGCTTGCTTGCCTGACTGTACATTAGAGCCTAGTGCTTGTTAGTGGAATGCTAATGCACCATGGTTATGGTGTACCTCTGAAGGGATTGTGGCCCAAGAATAAGTCCATACTGGAAAAGGTACACCTCGAAGCATTTGTGGCTGTGCACGAGGTCATGCTGGAGAACCTTAGAGCGTGTGACCATGGGTAAGACCACGACAGAGCAGGTACTCCCCTGCAGGGACTGCAGCCATGGGTAAGATCGTGTTGAAGGAGGTGTATCTTTGAAGGCATTGTGGCCTATGGAGGAGGCCTCACTGGAAAACACGCACTTCAAATGGACTGTGGCTGCAGATACATCCATGTCACACCAAGTATACACTGGGAGAAACTGTGGCTCCACATGGAGCACATACACCCCTGCAGTATGTGGGTAAGTCCAAGACAGAGCAGGGGCAAGGGGAAGAGTTCAGTGCAATGCTAAACCAGATGGTGAGGTTCAAAGGGACCAGGGGTGGAGATGGTAATGAAAATATGTTTAAATTGCTGTAAGCCAAGATGTGAGTTGCATGTTATGGGAATGTGACCATGAAATAATAGAAGTTTCAATACTCAGGGACGCAAAGAGGGCCATCAATAAAACTTCTGTCTTGGACTTCCAGAGAGCAGATTTCGGCCTACTCAGAAGACTGGTTCAGAGGGTACCTTGGAAAATAGCCCTTGAAAACAAAGGGGTCCAGGAGGGATGAACATGCTTCAAGAAGGAAGTCTTGAACACACAGGAGCAGGCTGTCACAGTGTGTGCTGAAAGGCAAGCTGTCAGGGAAGACAGCCAGCCTGGCTGAACAGGGAGATTTTGAAGGAAATAAGGAGAAAAAAGAGAGCTTACTGACTATGGAAAAAAGGGCTGGCTACTCATGAAGAGTTTAGGAATATAGTTAGGCCATGTAGAAAGAAAATTAGAGAGACAAAGGCACAATTTGAACTCAATCTAGCCACTTCTGTTAGGGATAACAAGAAGTGCTTCTACAAATACATCAATAGCAAAAGGAGGGCAAGGAAAACCTCCATTCTTTGTTGGACATGCCTGGGAATATAGTTACAAAAGATGAAGAAAACGCTGAGGTACTTAATGCCTTCTTTACCTTAGTTTTCAACAGTAAGACAGGTTGTCTCTCAAACAGAGATAAGAAGCTGAATAGCCCCCTGTAATCCAGGAGGAGACAGTTAGCAACCTGTTGAGCCACTTGGATCCTCACGAGTCTATGGGACCAGATGGGATCCATTCTAGGGTGATGAGGGAGCTGGCGGAAGAGCTCACCAGGCTGCTCTCCGTCATTTACCAACAATCCTGACTCACTGGGGACGTCCCAGATGAGTGGAAGTTGGTGAATGTCACGCCAATCCACAAAAAAGGCTGCAAGGAGGACACGGGAAACTACAGGCCTGTCAGCTTGACCTCAGTGCCTGGCAAGGTTATGGAGCAGATCATCCTAAGTACAATCACACAACATCTACAGGATGGACAAGGGATCAGACCCAGCCAGCACGAGTTTAGCAAGGGCAGATCCTGTCTGACCAACCTGATTTCCTTTTATATCAGATGACCTGTCTGGTGGATGAGGGGAAGGCTGTGGATGTGTGTCCCTGGACGTCAGCAAAGCCTTTGACACCATCTCCCATAGCATACTCCTGAAAAAGCTGGCAGCCCATGGCTTGGACAGGGGCCCTCTGTGCTGGGTTAGGAACTGGCTGGAGGGCC